ACGAGGCCTAATCAAATGGAACCGGCACTCGGGATTGTGCAAGACATCTTCTCGAATAGGTGTATCGAAGCAACCGTATGTGCGTCCACCCGACTCGGGAGGCAGAACAAAATGTAAAAGCATAATTTGGCCTTCGTTGGCGCCAAAATGGCTGAACTCACTTTTGAACAGTCTCGAAGATGAATTTCCAAATGGTGAGTTTTGAGAAGAGTGCGTGAATGCGACAAATGCACGCTTTTATGTATGCACTTGTGTAAGAATGTATGTGTGTTCGTTCGACTATGTGTATATGTGTATGCATGAATGTATACATGCATATACGTACGTATGAGTATATCTATGTATGTATATATGTTTGTTCTTATAAATGTATGTATATTGGTATGTAGATATGTATATATCCTTGATATTCGAGTCCAAGCCTGCGTTTATGTGTGCTTATATGTTGGTTGGTGGATGCTTGTGTGCGTGTGTGCGTGTGTATGCTAGTGTAAGTGAACAACACGACAGTGATTGGAAAGAAGGTCTGGCGAACGCGAATATGTCTAGAATGACGGAAAACCCTTTAAAAAGGTAACCCCACCGAGGCTCTTGGATGGGAATGGGGTAGCCGAGGGGCGCACGGCCATGGGAAATCGCGAGCAGACGAGGCTGGGGAAAGGCGGCCGGTAGGCTTCCGTTGCTGGCCACTGTCCCGCCAAGCATGCAGACGGGCCTGAGTACCGAGGGCTGAAAGAAGCATGGTCAGGGGGACCGGATGAAGCGATGTGCAGAGAGAAATGCAAAAGTCGGCTGAATGCAACACCACGTACGGTCGTCAGTCTGTACAATGACCTTGGCTTGCGCCGGGTCGCCACGGCAATAAGGACGCTGGTCGGCTGGCCAGGTCAACCCGGCTCAGCTGACTTCGAAAGAAGCATGTGACCTCCAAAAACTGGGTTAAGCCTTGGACACTGAACCATTTTGGCCATTCTACCATTCTAGCCTCCTACCTGGTCGGCTAGCTACACACAATCTAGCTGCTAGTGGCACGACAACTTCGGTTTGGGACAGTTTCGGTAGCAATGGC